AGGGCCTCTCCCGTTGCGGAGCACAGGCTCCAGACATGCAGGCTCAGTAGTTATGGCTCACGGGCTTAGTTGCTCCGCGGCATGTGGGATCTTCCCGGACCGGGGCTCAAACTCGTGTCCCCTGCATTGGCAGGCGGATTCTTAACCACTGCGCCACCAGGGAAGTCCCAAGAGTGACTCTTAAGTAGTATCATCTCCCTGAGGTGAGATGAGGACCTCCGGGAACTGGCCTGAGGACAGCACCCCATGCCGGCCTGGAGAGGGCTGTCTCAGAACTAAGGAGAAGCTTCTCCCTCAGGCCTCCTGGGTTCCCACCAGGAGGACCAATAGAGGCAGAGTGGCCAAGGCTGGAGTGTCAGGGCCTAGTCTGTCCTGTGTCTCCCGGGGACCTGGGCTCCATGGTGGAGGGGCCTGCGCCCCTCTGTGGGCTCAAGCTGACAAGCCCGGGTCCTTCTCCCAGCTGAGGGGTGGGCAGACCTGGAGTCTTGGGTCCTTCATGGTCCACACAGCCTCCAGGGAGCTGCCTCTGGATGTCTGGGGAGGGGGCTGGGAAAGGAGCCAGGGGAGTGGAGGGTCCGAGTGTGTGCTGTAGATGTGCCCACATGAGCATGAATGTGGTGCCACTTGCGTAAATCAAGGTACATGGACGTGTGTGTGGAGTTGTGACCCCGGGACATCATGTGACTGCAGGTATCAGAAAACGGGGTCTGTCTGTGTATACGTGTGTGTGTGTGTGTGTGTTCCCTTATGCCTGAGGCTATGTTATATGGGGGTGGCTGGTGCTGCGTGTGAGTCCTTGTGACTGCAGAGCTGTGTGTGAGGGGACAGCCTGAGCCTTGTGACCATGAGTGCAAACACACTACCCCCGGCCCAGCCATGGGCAGCCCCCGCACCCAGGCGCCCCCTGAGGAAGGGCAGCTGGCAGCACCCTCGCCGCCCTGGCCCTCGGGGCAGAGGCCTGGCAGCAGCCCCTGCCCACAGGAACCCCTCTTGCCCCCCGCAGTGCAGCCACAATGGGACCACGTGCAATTTCCGGAACTTCAGCAGCGCCACCCAGGCCGTGACGGAGTGGTACACCCTGCAGGCCACCAACATCTTCGCACAGGTTCCAAACAAGGAGCTGGTGGCCATGGGCTACCCCGCCGAGCAGCTGATCCTGGCCTGCCTCTTCGGGGCAGAGCCCTGCACCTACAGGTAAGAGCCGCCAGGCCCCCTGCAGCCAGGGTCCACATCCCGGCCCACACCCCTGCTTGGTCACTCAGCCTGCACCACAGTTGTCTGTGCCCAGGTGTCTTTGGTTTTCTGGAGACAGAGCCTGAGACAGGGATGTGCTGAAGGCCGCATCACGTACTGAGGGAATCGCTTTAGGAAAAGTCTGCAGGAAAGAGGACTGAGCTAAGGGAGGCTGTGGCCACAGGTGACGTCTAGCCTGACCTGATCCACGGGGAGCGTAAACCGCACCACAGAGCTGACCTCCCTTAAGTGGAGGTCGGGGGCAGGGGCGTGGGAGCAGCCCCTTGTACATGCCCCCATCAGTTACTCACTGGCTCTGTGCCACCCCCAGGAGGATGGGCTGGGGTCTCCTAATTTCCCAGGCAAGGTGGCGGGAGAAGGGGCGGCTGTGAGCTGTTAGCCTCCAATACCCCACAGCTGGGGATCTGTGCAGGTACCCAAGCATCTACTGCCCTCGGTTTTCTCATCCTAAGACAGGAACAATAACCATAGCCACTTCCTAGAGTTCCTGTGAAGAGTAAATGAAGGGGGGGACTTCCCTGGCAGTCCAGTGGTTGAGACTCCGCGCTTCCATGGCAGGGGGTGCGGCGTTCGATCCCTGGTCAGGGAACTAAGATCCCACATGCTGTGTGACCAAAAAACAAAAAAAAATTTTACCCTTCCCCCTCCCCATATTCTCAAGTCCATTCTCTAGTAGGTCTGTGTCTTTAAGCTGTGACAAAGTGAGAGAGCGGCATGGACATATATACACTAACAAACGTAAGGTAGATAGCTCGTGGGAACCAGCCGCATGGCACAGGGAGATCAGCTCGGTGCATTGTGACCGCCTGGAGGGGTGGGATAGGGAGGGTGGGAGGGAGGGAGACGCAAGGGTGAAGAGATATGGGAACATATGTAAACGTATAGCTGATTCACTTTAAAGCAGAAACTAACACACCATTGTAAAGCAATTATACTCCAATAAAATGTTTAAAAAATATGAAAGGAATTCATAGTGACAAAAGTACATTATGCAGATAACTTCCAAAAAAATTTTTTTTTAGGAAAAAAAAAAGTAAATGAAGCGGCTCCTGTCAGCACTTAGGGCCCTGGAAGTCTTCGCTGTAAACACCTTTTTCCCAAACAACCCCCAATGTTGAAAAGATGGCAGAATGAGGGCAGGGTCAACCCTAAAAGCCTGTGTCCTCTTACAAATAGCCCACAGATCTCCCCCTCCTTCCCCTCCCCAGCTTCTGACCATCCAGACCCTGGGCCTGAGAGCCAAGCTCTGTCCCCGAATTGGGGCAGCCGTCAGAGGGGCTGCAGGTCAGCTGGCGGGTCACGGGGGAAGGAAGGGGCTGGGTACAGGCAGAGCTGCTGAAGCCCCAGCGCCCCCTCCTGGCTTCCTGGCCAGGCCTCTGGGTGAGGGGGACCACACCACCTGGGTCCCGCCCCGGGCTTCAGCCAGTCTTGTTTTCCAGAGGTGCTGGTGTCTTCCTGGCCTGGGGCTTCAAATTCCCACACTTAAGGCCTCTGGAGAATGGGGCGTTTTGCTGAGTCCTGCCGCTTTGGATGAGTGACAGTTTCACCCTCCCAGGGATTGTGGCCTCAGACCAACTCAGTCAAATCGTACACCTTCAGGGACCTCTGTTGAGAATCTGCTGACAGCTGTGGACCCTCTGTCCCCCAAAACGCACAGGCACTCAAAAGGCAGGCATTTCGTAGGCTGTGTCACGGAATCCAGGCCCACTGAGAAGGCAGTGCTGCACATTTGGTCCATTGTGAGAATCAGAAAAGGCCGGTCCTACAGGTGGAAGAGCTACGTGATGGCTCCCTGCTGATGGCACACATCCTGGCTGGTTGGTTACAGACTGGATTCCAACCCTCTCTCTGGGCCAGGGCACTTGGTTCAGAGCACACCTGCCCAACGATTCCTGGCAGCCCTGCCTGAAGGTTGTTGGTACGCAATGGACTAGTGCTGTGCCCACAAGTTCATCTTTTACCCTCTCAGCTAAAAGAGAGAGATGTAATACTGTAATTGCAAATATATGGCCCATCTGCGCAGTCAGAATATGTCCTGAAGTGCAAGTGAGTTGGGACAGTGGGTTCAACTAGGATCCACTGGGATCTGCTGTCAGGTCCCTGGTGCCTGAAGCGTGAGCATCTCCCATTGAGCAGGATCCCAGTGCTCGAAGGTGTGCATTCTGTGCACAGCACGGCCCCTAAACTGAGCCAGCTGTTTCCAGGCCTGATCCAGGGCCAGAGGCAGCCTGGGGATGACCTGCTTGTTCCCAAGATGGCACCCTCCAAAACGAGTCACATTTGGGTCACATGGACTGAGGGTGGTCCCCCAAAGAGAAGATGGCTGATGGGCAGGCAACACCCGGTATTGGCCACACAACTTTCGTGGCATAGCTAGGGCTGGGGAGTAAGTCTAGTGAAGGGGTGGCTCAAGGCTGGACTCTGCAGTTAGACTATTGGGTTCAGATCCTTGCTCTGTCTTACAAGCTGTGTGGCCTTGAACAAATTTCTTAACCTTTTTTTTTAGAATTTATTTATTTTTGGCTGCGTTGGGACCTCGTTGCTACACGCGGGCTTTCTCTAGTTGCGGTGAGCGGGGGCTACTCTTCGTTGCGGTGCGTGGGCTTCTCATTGCGGTGGCTTCTCTTGTTGCGGAGCACAGGCTCCAGGCGTGCGGGCTTCAGTACTTGTGGCACACAGGCTCAGTAGTTATGGCTCGCGGGCTCTAGAGCACAGGCTCAGTAGCTGTGGCACATGGGCTTAGTGGCTCCATGGTGTGTGGGATCTTCCCGGACCGGGGATTGAACCCGTGTCCCCTGCATTGGCAGGTGGATTCTTAACCACTGCGCCACCAGGGAAGAAGTCCCAAATTTCTTAACCTTTATATGCCTCCAATTTCCTCCTCCGTAAAACAGATAATAACAGTGCCTACTCTACAGGGTTATTTTGAATATTCAATGAGTTAATATGCATGACAGGCTGACGGTAGTGAAGACTCAGTGTTATTCTCGTTAAACCCACATTTGACAAGGAACTCATTCTTCGATAATGATGCTAACGCTTACTGTGCCCTTCTGATGTGCCAAGCACTATTCTTAACACTTTACATGTATAAAATCAGTTTGACCCTGGCAACAAGCCCTCGTTTTATATGATGCAACCACTGCCCAGAGAGGTTAAGCAACATCTCTGAGGTCACACAGCTGGTGAGTGTCAGAGGTGGCAGTCTGGGCCAGGCCCACCCTGTGTCACTTCCCCACCTCATCAGAAATCAAGATCATCTTTCCTCCCCACCCACCCCTCCCAAGCCTGTTTCTTCAGCACTCGGCAGTCTGAGTGGAGGGTGTGACCCAGACACTTGGCACAGAAACCCCAGTCCACCCATGTCTACGCTTCTGCTCACTGCCACAGCCAGCTGGTTACCCACCTTCCTGAATCAGCCTCAGACTCAGTGCTGAGGACACGTGCCTCTCTCTGCCCTCACAGTGCCGCGCTCCAGGCACAACGGCTTCCTCACTCTGTTCTGGACTCCTTCCTCTCCTGCTCGTATGTGGCAAATGCTCAAGACGCAGCTGCAGTTTTAGGAACATGTGAGCCACGTTTGGACCCTGACACCAAAGCACCCAGATTTGAATGCCAGCTCTGTGTGTTGTTGGGCACGCTACTTAGCCTCTCTGTGCCTCAATTTTCTCATCTGGAAAATGGGGATAGTGAAATGACCTCATAGGGCTATCATGGGGATTAAATGAGTTAACAGATAAAGTGCTTATGTGAAGCAATTATACTCCAATAAAGATGTTAAAAAAAAAAAAAAAAGTAGAGGAGACAAGAAAAAAAAAATGCTTAGAACAGTGCCAAGCATGTGTTAAGAATTATATGAGCACTTTAAAGATAAACTTTTTATTGTGGAATAGCTTTAGATTTATAGAAAAGTTTCAGAGAGAGTACAGAGTTCCCTTGTACTCCTCACCCAGTTTCCCCTCTTGGTAACATCTTACATCACCATAGTAATTTATCAAAACTAAGAAACCGACACGGGCACATCATTATTAAATAAACCTAACACTTTATTCGGATTTTGTCAGTTTTTCCTGGTGACCTTTTCCTGTTCAAGATTCCATCCAAGAGACCCCTGTCGGTTGCTGTCGGTTGTCACGTCTCCTCTGTCCATTCTGGCTGTGACACTTTCTCAGACTTCCTTGTTCTGGATGATTGTGACAGTTTCCGAGTGCTGGGTGGGTGTTTTATAGAAAGCATTTGATTTGGAGTTACACAGATAAGATGGGTTTGGGGGAAGAAGACCACAGAGGTGAGGGGCTTCTCATCACATCGTGTGTGGGGTACATGTTAGGCACTCGACACCACCCGCGATGTTGGCCTTCCTCCCTCAGTTCAGGTGCTGCGTGCTGGGCTTCTCCACTCTAACGTAACCACTTTTCCCCGCCTGTGCTCTGTGTCGTGGAAGCACGTCTCTAAGTTCAGCCTGTACTCTGGGGGGGTGGAGGTGACGGCAGGGGTAGAGGGACTAAACTCCACTTCTCCTGGAGAGGGGAACATGTGCTATTTGGAATTCTTCTGTAAGGAAGATTTATGTCTTCTCCATTTGTTTATTTTTTCAGTCTCTTCATTTATACCAATATGGACTCATGTATATTTGGGTGGTAATCCAATACCACACTATTTATTTTCTTACTCAAAACTTTCCATCTTTGGCCACTGAGAGCTCCTTCAGTTGCCTCCTGTGTCTCTTTGACATGTTCTCATCCCTTTATTTATTTTTTAAGTACTTCCTTACTTTCTGGCACAACAAGATGCCCCAGTCCTGGAATCAGCCATTTCTCTGAGGAGCTCCAGTCCTTTTATTGGAGAATGGTATTTAGAAACCAAGATCTAGGCATCTATAAGTGTTGTTGTTGTTGTTATTATTGCTTCAGGGATTGGCCAGCTAGTTTCTGCCCTTCCCCAAACCCTACTACACAGTACCACTGTTGTTATATTGCTTCCTGCTAGGATGCTCTGTTTCCCAGTCTTTTCTGGAGGCTTGCTGGTCTCTGTCTATACGCCTAGCCTTTGTTCCAGGGAAGGTTTTTGGAGGGAAACGCCTAGCTCTGGGGCTGGAGGTAGCCAGTGCTGGGAGCAGCCTCTCCAGGTAAAGAACATTATCAACAAGCAAATAGTTGGCAAGACTGAGAGTGCAGCCCAGGACAGGAGGGGATCTGGCCGTGCCCGGAGCCACCTCCCGCTCCTGAGCTGTAGATGTCCAGGACAGCTCCTTGGGCACACCGCATCCCCACACCCCTGGGGTGGGGCCTCTCCTTCCAGAGCAGGGCCTGGCTGCAGCCGGCTTGCCCTGCTCCATTCCTTCCCTGTGGCCACAGCCCTGATCCCACACAGGACAGAGACTCTGTAGTGTCTGCCCAAAGCTGTTTCTTCCCTCTGGGACTTCACGTGTGTCATGCCCCCTGCCTGGGCTGCCCTTTCTCCTCCCCACCCACCAGGCTCGGCTACCTCTGACTCACCCCTGAAGTCTCAGCTCAGGCCTCACCTCCTCCACGAAACCTTCCCTGACCTACTCCCTACCCCGACGCCCACTCTTCCAGGCTTATCTCTGTTGATACTCTTACCACATATTATAGTTTATCCAACAAATATTTACTGAGTGTCTACCGAGTGCCAGGCTCTGAGGATGGGGGGTGAATTTGTTCAGTATTTCAGTGTGCTTGGCTTCCAACCCTCACGCCAGTCCCTTTGGGTGGGCGCTGTTGTTACCCCATTGTTACAGGTGGAGAAACAAGACGCGGAGAGGTGAAGTAACTTGCCCCAAGCTCACCAGCTAGTAAGCGGCAGAGCCAGAATTCAAATTCAGGCAGGCTTGGCTCCCAGGGCTGAGCTATTAGCCTTTAACTTCTTTCTCCCTGCAAACAGACAGCTGCCCTCCCTGGGATTATGGTCTAAAGCAAGAGGCAGCTGATAAGCCAGCAGTTAAAGAAGATGAGTTCAGCTTCTGACACACGCCCGCAGGGGAATAAGCAGGTGGAAATGGTCAAGTAACTGGGAAGTGACTTTGCGTAGGGAGGTCAGGGGACGGCTCCGAGCGGATGAAATTGCTGCTCAGAGAATATCTGCTGCTCAGAGAATATCCTGGGCCCAAGGAGCAGCGGGCCTTGAATTTGGAAACATCTTGGAGTGTCTCTGGAGTATAATGAACAAGGCGGGGAGAAAGCCCAGTAGGGCGTTTGCATTTTATTCTGTGAGCAGCAAGGAGCTTCTGGAAGGTTCTAACAGGGGCGTGCCGTGGGCTGATTCACAACTTGAACACTCGCCCTGACCACTGTGCAGGAGGAAGACTGAGGGAGCAGGACCGGAGGCAGAGGCTCCAGCAGGAACTGGGGCAGGAGATGCCGGTGGCCTGGACCAGGCTGGGAGCCTTGGAGGTGGAGGGAGGCAGCTAGGCCAGAGACGCACTTTGGAAGGAGAGGATTGCCATGACGCTGCTCCGTGGTGTCCCCCACGCTGTGAGCTTCGAGGGTAGGGCTGTCTTGCCAGCCTCAGTGTCCCCAACGCAGTGCGCGCCTCAATAAATGTTGGGTGAAGAAATGCACTTTCTTCCTGATTTCCCTTTCACCATGGAGGACACCAAAGCTCAGAGGCTGAGGAGGCAGCTCACATGTGTCAGGCAGGGTCAGCTCCCAGATTGGATTTCACTGCCTGCCCTGGACCCACCTCATTCTGCTGGCACAGACGGTGAGACAAGATAGAGGAAATGGTTTCCTAATCTGAACACAGAGACAAAGAGCAGCTGACCTCATGGGGTTATTTTGAGAATTAGAAATCTTCAGCACGGGCCTGGCCCCTGAAAGTCGCTCAGTAAAAGTTGTGGAACAGAAAGCTTAGAAAGTACTGCATTTCAGGTGATATTTCTGCAGTATTTGATGCACTGAGCCCCATTCCTTCCTGTTTTTTAATAAAATAACAAAAACAGTATAAAAACATCCAAGGACATTTTATTTTATTTTATTTTTATTATTTTTTTTTTTGTGGTACGCGGGCCTCTCACTGTTGTGGCCTCTCCCGCTGCGGAGCACAGGCTCCGGACGCGCAGGCTCAGTGGCCACGGCTCATGGGCCCAGCTGCTCCGCGGCATGTGGGATCTTCCTGGACCGGGGCACGAACCCGTGTCCCCTGCATCGGCAGGCGGACTCTCAACCACTGCGCCACCAGGGAAGCCCCCTACAAGGACATTTTAAATGCTATTTCCTATGAAGACTTGAGAACATACACATAGATAGAACAGTGTGTGATGAACTCACATGGACCTACCCACCCAGATCCAACAAGCGTGATTCACATCCTGTCCTGTGCTGTTTTTAAAGCAAATCCCAGACATCATATTCTTTCATCTATATAGTGTTCAGAATGTATCTTAAAAGAGAAAGACTTTTTTTTAACAGAAGCACAATACCATTATCCTACCTGAAAAAGAGATGTACAGTGACACCTCAATACCATCAACTATCCAGTCGTGTTCACACTCGTCAGTGTCATACTTTTTTGTTTACTTGTTTGAATCAGGATCCAATTAAAGGCCACAGGTTGTGATTGTAACCAAGTCTTTGTAGTTTATTTTAATCTATAGGTTACCTCCCTTACCCTCTCTCACAATTTCTTTGCTGAAGAAACTGGAGTCTGGATTTTGCATGTTGACTTTTTGTAGTGTCTTTGAATTTGTTCCTCTGTCTCCAGTATTTGCTATAAATGGTAGAGACAGATGCTCGATCTTGTTCAAGGCTGGGTTTTGCTGTTGTTTTGTTTATTGGCAAGGCCACTTCCTGGACAGCCTGTGCTCTTGCATCAGGACATGCAGCATTGGTCACTACTGGTGCACATTGCCCCAAATCCCCAAAATCGGGGGTGCAAAATGATGACCCTCTAATTGTATCACTCCCTCTTCAGTTATTAGCTGGATGAAACCAGAACTCTTAACAGCTATTTTACAAGGACAAAAAAAAAAAAGTCAGATGAAGGGAGCCATAGATTAAGAGATTTAAAAGGCATATCAACCAATCACATGTCAATGTCATTTGGATCCCAGTTTAAACAAATCAATTGTAAAACCAGAATTGACCTCTGTGAGACAATGTAAATTGAATGTTTAATAATATTAAGGAATTTTTGTTAGTTACGTTTAGCATGGTTTTTTAAGAGTTCTTGTAGAGATACACATAGAAATGTTAACAAATAAAACTATGATGTCTGAGATTTTCTTCAAAATAATATGGGAGGGAGAGTGGGGGCAGGTAGAGATGAAACATGACTGGCCGTAGGGGATTTTGTGGTGTTTTTTTTTTTTTTAATGTATTTATTTTTATTTTTGGCTGTGTTGGGTCTTCATTGCTGCGTGTGGGCTCTCTCTAGTTGGGGCGAGCTGGCTTCTCATCGCGGCAGCTTCTCTTGTTGTGGAGCACAGGCTCGAGGTGCACGGGCTTCAGTAGTTGTGGCACGTGGGCTCAGTAGTTGTGGCTCGTGTCTCATAGAGTGCAGGCTCAGTAGTTGTGGCGCACGCGCTTAGTTGCTCTGCGGCTTGTGGGCTCTTCCCAGACCAGGGCTCAAACCCGTGTCCCCTGCATTGACAGGTGGATTCTTAACCACTGCGCCACCAGGGAAGTCCCATAGGGGATTGTTGAAGCTGGTGGTGGGCTTCATTCTCTCAACTTTTTATGTTTGAAAAGTTCCACATCAAAAAATAATTAACCAAATTATCTGAAACTACATTATACTGTTGCTTCTACCGTGAGCATCTTTATGCAAACATTTTGTGTTGTTGCTGAATTATTTCCTTAGGAAACATTCTCATGACATAAGATAGGATCCTAGATGGGGCTCTTCACACCTCGTTGTGAAGTTCTCTCTTTCCTGGCCTCTGCTTGCACCCTCTCCTGATTCACAGCCCTCCATCTCCGTCTACTTTCCTCTTTACCTGAGCTCCCGAGGTTCCCCGACAAGCCCACCTGTCTGCATTCTGCCAGCTCCTTGCAGCAAACACTGCCTGGAGCCGCCCTCTCACTCTTAGGATCTGTATTAGTTTCCTGTGGCCGCTGTAACAAATGACCACAAACTGGGTGGTTTAAAACCACGGAAATTTATTCTTTCACAGAGGAGGCTAGTAGTGGGCAGTCACAGTGTCAGCAGGACCAGGCTCTCTCCAGAGGCTACAGGGGAGAATCCTTTCTTGCCTCTTCTAGCGTCTGGTGGGCCCAGGTGTTCCTTGACTTCTGTCTGTGTAACTCCAATCTCTACCTCCGTCTTCACATGGCTTTCTCCTCTGTATCTGTGTCTACTATTCTGTCTCTTCAAGGACACTCGTGGTTGGGTTTAGGGCCCATGTGGATAAAAGAGGCTGATCTCATCTCAAGATCCTGAATTATGTCCGCAAAGACCCCTTCTCCAAATAAGATCACACTCCCAGGTCCCTGGGGTTAGGACGTGGACATCTCTTTTGGGGGGCCACCGTTTAAATGACCACGTGACTTATAAGACCGTGTAGATGAGACAGATGAAAACATCAAACAAGCTTCTTTTTCATCACTCATGGCTAAGCCAGAGAGCCTAGTTCCACCCTTCCTCACCCTTCTTTCCCAAGGGAGTCCAGGAATCTCCTCTCTAGTGGGTACATGGGTGCAGGTAAAGGGACAGAATGACCTGTTGCTCACCTCTCCCTTCCTAAGCCTCTCTGAGCAGTAATCTACCAGCTCCCCTCTGCCATGAGCCCTGGGCAGGGGAGGCATCAGCTGGGGTGGGGTGGGCCCTGCTCTCTAGCTGATGGTGTTTCTTTCAGGAACTTCACACCCATCTTCAACCCTGATTATGGCAACTGTTACATCTTCAACTGGGGCATGAAGGAGAAGGCCCTCCCTTCAGCCAACCCCGGAGATGATTTTGGTATGTCTTGGTTTGTCCTGGAGCCAGGGCCATGAGGATTTAAATCCTATCTTGTCGGGCTGAAAGACCAAATTACCATCGGCCATTGAGGGGCAGGACCGAGGTTAGATGGAGGCCGGCACACGGAGGGGCAGCCTCTACTGTGTGCACGGGGGCTAGGCCAGGTGCCTTCTCAGCCGTCCCCCCACCCAACGCTCATAAATCCCTGGGGTAGCGACTGGTGTGCCCATTTTGCTGATGAGGAAAGCGAGGTAGCAGTAAGCTTAGTGGTCGAGAGCACAGGCTTCTGTGACCGGGTGGAATCCCAGCTCCACCATTTATCCCCGGGTGATGCTGAGCTGAGACTTAACTTCTCGAAGCCCTTGTTTCCCCATACCGAACAGAGCAGAGCATATATATAGTATAGAACTCATCGAATCATCCTGGCCTAAGGCAGGTAGACCTCTGAGCGCAGAGCAAGCAGCCTTGTCTCTAAGCCTGGCAAGTAGCAAATGCTTGATAAATGAAGATATTCTGAGAAGTTGTAAATAATTTGCCCACACGCTCACATAGTTACCCTGGGGCCGAGCCCTTACTCTCAGCCTTGTTTCTGTGCAGTTCTTGAGAGACAGAGAGCAGGTGAACTAGTAAACAGAAGGGAGGAAGAGGAAGTGGTTGATGGCAGAGGCTGCTCATTTTGGGAGAAAGGCTGGAGGACTCAGCATGTGCACCAGGCCTTGGGGAGCAAATCCTTCCTCCCCGCTCAGGTTCTGCCCTCCCCAGCCATCAAAGGGCAGGTGTCATTCAGCAACTGTCAGGGCTGCTGGTCAATAGGGGCGTGGGTGGGCTGCCCACCCTTCACCACCCCTGTGCCCCTGAAGACATTGGGTATCACAGAGGTGCTGGTCAACTCAGTCTATAGGAGAAGATGATTAAGATCAAGGAGCCTGGCTGCCTGTTGAGAAGCTCAGCAACCCTCCACTTCCTCAGAGTGACCTATGACAACATCCCTTCTCCTCTATGAGCCTCAGTTTCCTCATCTGTAAAATGGGGACAATAATTGTACCTAACTCATATACCCCTTGAAAGCACCAGTGGGATCATGTAAATAAAGCCCTTAGCCCAGCACTCAGCATGTAGCAAGTGCTCAATAAATGCTAGCCTTCTTGTCCTAACCACCTAGCCTGGTCCCATGGTGCATAAAATAATGGGTCTGGTCTCTACCTTCAAGAAGGGAACAGTGGAGTGGGGAAGGAAGACACATAATAAAAGAAGAATCTCAAGAGTGAGAGAGGTACTTGGAAGGAAAGTTCCAGGGCTAGGAGAGCATATCGCAGAGATCCTGAGACCCAGTCTAGGTAGTCAGGGAAGGCTTCTGAAGGAAGTGACACTTGGGCTGAGATCTGAAGGAAGAGCAAGAGTTTCTAGGTGAAAGGTGAGGCTGGAGACGGCATTCCAGAGAGAAGGGAGAGCGTTACGAAGTCCCAGCAGCAGGAAGCAGCACGGCAGCAAAGGGAAGTGAGTGGAAACAATGAGGACCTGTGTGATTGGAGGTAGGACCTGTGCTGTGGCCCTAGGTCAGCCTGCCCTGTGGAAGAGAGATCATGGCGGGTGGTATACGGGGCAAAGGGAGCCCAGAGAGGAGAGACCATGGTGGCTTGGACTCGAATGGGGGCCTTAGAGAAGGCAGGAAGTCTGGATTTTCGTAAAGTGGAGCCAGCTTCCTGCACAGACCCTTGGCTGGAGGGGACTTGGACCAGTGGGTGGTGGGTGTCCCTTCAGCCTTGGGGAGCGAGCTCAGGCAGCCCTCGGCCCCATCTTCCCCTCAGGCCTGAAGTTGATCCTGGACGTGGGCCAGGAAGACTACGTGCCCTTCCTCACGTCCACGGCCGGCGCCCGGCTGATGCTTCATGAGCAGATGTCGTACCCCTTCATCAAAGAAGAGGGCATCTTCGCCATGTCGGGGATGGAGACTTCCATCGGGGTGCTGGTGGTATGGCTGCAGCCCAAGGGCACCCCACCTCCCAGAGCCTGAGAGCCAGAGATCCGGGCCTCCCCAAGCCCTGGATCTCCTCACCATCCACTCCTGCCTCGCCTTCTGGCTGGAACCCCACCGGGCGGCCACGCTCTGGGGGAAGATGAGTGCCCCCCAAGCCCTGGCGCCTGCTGGGACATCGGCCCTCTATCCCCTCTTCAGCATCCCCTAGACCTGCATGCTAGATGGGAGGGAGGGACAGAGGGGCTTCCTAGGGGTGACCAGGGGCCCCCCACAAACAACCTCTCACACAGGACAAGCTGGAGCGCAAGGGCGAGCCTTACAGCCAGTGCACCGTGAACGGCTCCGACGTCCCCATCCGAAACCTCTACAGCGACTACAACACGACCTACTCCATCCAGGTGGGAAGATGGTGCAGCCTCATGACCCTGGGGCCCCATCCACGTCTACCTAGCCTGAGGCCTGAGGTCTCTGGGAAAGCTAATCCCGGCAAGGCTGACTCTGCTGGATCTTTGGGACCACAGGGTGCCCTATCCTGGTTCCCACCAGGGCCCAGGGCTGGCCGCTTCTCCACCCTGCTTTGTAGGTGTGCCCTTGGGGTCTCGCTCTGGGGTCTCCCAAGAAGAAGCCTTGTGTATGTTAAGGGTTTACATGAATTACATCATCATCTAATCCTTTCAGTACCCCTACGAGGCAATAATATACTAACAATAATTACTAATTATTGTTAACGTATTATGCTATTAATAGCATTTATTATATATGCCATTTATTATAAGTATTAATATACTAATAACAGCAGGCTTATTGTGTGCTAGGCAGGCACTGTTCCACGTGCTTCACATATATACATTAAATCATTTAACCCTCACAACAACCCTAAGATGTAGATACTATTATTAGGAATGAAGAAATTGGGGTTTACAGACCCCAGTCCAAATGCCTCATTGATGTACCTGAGAAGTCCCTCTTTGTATCTGGCCTCAATCCCCCTTGCTGCAGCTGGGGGCTTCCCCCTTATGCTGATCTCCAAGGTCAGCCCAGGAGGCCTGGCCTCAGACCTGGCCCCAGTGGAGAGGACACACTGAGTCTTTGCAAAAGTGACCACTTGCTGACACTTTTTCTCCCAGCCCAGTCTGTCTTGGTGGGTAAGGAAGCTGAGGCATAACAAGGGCCATGGCAGAGCAGTGCCTGGCTCTGTGTCTGAGTGCCCCAAGCAAGATGTGGTCTTCCCATTTGCCTTAGGGGACTCCACTCTCCCCCATGCCCGCCTGCCCGCCCACTCCATCCAGCTGACCCCAGGCACCCCACACTCTGACCCTCCTGTCTAGAGGGGCTTCTGCCTGCGATGGAGAGCTCAGGGAACCTTCCAAGCCTCTGGAGGGACAGATGGACAGACAAGACAGCACAGGGAGGTGGGGAGCACGGAGCAGGAGGCCAGAGGCATCAGGCCCCAGCCCTGGAGGCCTTATTCCAGAAAAACCTCAGTTCTTGCTTCGTCCAGTGCAGTCACCACTCTGGCCGGAGACCTTGGCAAAGCCCCAGGCCCTGGTCCGGTGCTCGGCCGCCCAGGCCCTGCCCTAGCCCAGCCTCAGCTGGGCCCTGGAGAGGACTCCCTCCTTCCAGGTGAGACAGTGAGGTCTGGGCGAGTGTGAGACACTTGGCCAAGTCAGGGCTCCCTTCTGACCCCACTGCCCCTGACCTCGCCCCAGACCCGCTCCTCCCGGCTGTGCCATTTCATCTGCCACCTCCCCCCGGCCGCTTCCTCCCGCAGGGAGCCCACAGGTTTGCCAGAGAGGACAGGAGAGGATGCGTTAGCCTGGGAAGCAGCAGGCAGGAGAGCGGAAAAGAAGCTGTGGGCTCCTTGGCCAGGGTGGAAGCAGGGAAGCACTTGGGAAACTGGGCAGCAAGAGACGTGAGGAGTGGCTGCTTCCATTCGCTGAGCGCCCCTTGGCAAGCCTACCTCCCCGCCTGAGCCGAAGGGAGCGACAGGAGTAAACTGAGGCTCGGAGGCTAAGGGCTGGCCCCGGGACACATAACTCGTCTCTGAGTGGAATGACCTGAAAACCCAGTATGAGTAGATTCATCTCATCCAGCCCGGGGCCGGGGCGGGGGGAGGGGAGGGCTGAGTCCACTCTCCCCCTCCCCCATCCCCAACCAGGGGACATTCTGTAGAAGGTCACTTCCTCTTCCATCCACTCTGAGCACTCACAGCACACTTCTCGCCTTCCTGAGTGTTTCTCTCCAGGAAGAAGGAGCACAGGGCAAGCCTCCCTGTCTTCCCTTCTGGGTCCTTCCACATAAGGGCTCAGAAACCTGCTGGCAGCCTTGTGACAAGAGCTATCTAAGAGTTAGCTTTTTTTTTTTTTTTTTTGGCCACATGCAGATCTTAGTTCGCTGACCAGGGATCAAACCCGTGCCCCCTGCAGTGGAAGCGCAGAGTCCTAACCACTGGACCACCAGGGAAGTCCCTCAGAGTCAGCCTTAGCGTTGGAACAAGCCACCCCTCCCCATGTCATCCGTGGGGCCCCAACTCTGAAAGGTGGCAGGGGCCATCCTCAGAGAGCCAGCGTCTGGCCCGAGTCCCTCTATGGGGGCCAGGGACAGGGGAGGACTGCCACGCCCCAACTTGGAGGAGGCTCGGCCACCGCTTCTGAGCGGGAGGGGCCCCTCCCCCCGCCCCCCCCCCAGCCCCCGTGGCCTGGGCAGCAAGCTCTCCGGGGCTGGGACGGGGACATCACCATCAAGTCTGCATTCTCTCTGTACCTCCTCCACCCCCAGGCCTGTATTCGCTCTTGCTTCCAAGACCACATGATCCATAACTGCAGCTGTGGCCACTACCTGTACCCGCTGCCCCGCGGAGAGAAATATTGCAACAACCAGGAATTCCCAGACTGGGGTGAGTGGGAAGCCCCGGGGGACCGGCCACCCACCAGCTGGGCCACTGCCCCCGAAGGCCCTGACCACAAGGGAGGTCGGAGCTCCACGCCCTCCGTCCCCGTCCTCTCAGACCACAGCCCCTCTTGCCGCTCCCCTTACTCTTCGACTCCATTAAGTGTACGCTTGAAACATGTATGTTCGGGAGAGAATTTGTCCTTGAGACCCGAAGCCACAGGCGGAGGAGCCCCTGCTGGGCTCACACTGAGCTGGGATCCAGGCTTGGAGTCCAAACACTGATGGATGTTGTCAGCAGCAAAGAGCATCCCACCACCTCTTTTTCTTTTAACCTTTTATTTATTTATTTTACTTTTTGGCTGCATCGGGTCGGGTCTTAGTTGCGGCACACGGGATCTTCACTGAGGCGTGTGGGATCTTTCATTGAAGGGCACGGGCTCTTTGTTGCGTCGCACAGGCTTCTCTCTAGCTGTGGCATGCGGGTTTTCTCTTCTCTAGTTGTGGCACGTGGGCTTCAGAACACATGGGCTCTGTAGTTTGCGGCACACGGGCTCTCTAGTTGAGGCGCACGGGCTCAGTAGCTGTGGCCCGCGGGCTTAGTTGCCCTGTGGCAGGTAGGATCTTAGTTCCCTGACCAGCAATCGAACCCGCATCCCCTGCATTGGAAGGTGGATTCTTTACCACTGGACCACCAGGGAAGCCCCCTACCACCTCTTAAAACTAACAAAATGTGTGGACAAGAGGGGAAAACTTTACCCCTTCCAGCCACCCATCCCTTCCCACATGACCCCATCACCCCGGCCCACCGGCCAGCATCAGGTGACAGGTGGAGGGAAAGCTGCTCTGATGCTGCTGAGCTGGGGCTGGGATGTCTGGGGAGAGGATCCCCCAGGCCAGGCTGGGGTGAAATGGCTGGCGACGGGACAGGTTGGGGGTGGATGTAGGTGATTCTCCATGACCAGGGGGGTCCGGATTGAGATAACTCCCCCCACTCACCCTAACCACAGGCCTTAGGTGGCCCAGGGCCAGGAGGGCAGAGGGCAGCCAGAGGCTCAAAGCACAAAACCCCGCTCAGAGTCTCTCTCCCCACCCCCTACCGCTCAGCCTATTGCTACTCGGCCCTGCGCATGAGCCTGGCGCAGAGGGAGACCTGCATCGATGTCTGTAAGGAGTCCTGCAAGTGAGTCCTGCCCAGAGGCTCGCGTGGGCGGCGGGGCTGGCTGTGGATGGTGGGGCGGTGGGGACAGTGACAGGCTGCCTTCTCTCTTCCAGTGACACGCAGTACAAGATGACCATCTCCATGGCCGTCTGGCCTTCTGAGGCCTCTGAGGTGAGTCAGGGGCGCGGCCAAGCTCCTGGCTGCCCATCTTCGGGCGGGAGGCAGGTCTGGGCAGAGGTCTGCAGGCTGTTTGGAACTTTACAGAGGGGGGTTCCCCCCCCCTCCTTCCCCTCCCTCCCCGCTTACTTCCACCCATGTCCCCCAAGCACTGTGCTGGGGAAACGGCAGTAAGCGAGACACACAGTCCTTTGCCCTTACGGAGCATACTTTTTACCTGGAGAGACAGACAATATACAGAAATAAGATCATTTCAAATGGCTGTGTAGGGTAGACCAGATGATGAGAGGGTAACTGGGGGAAAAGGCCTTAGGGTAGTCAGGGAAGACCTCCCTAAAAAGGTGACATTTGAGTTAAAACTGGAGGATGGGGCTGAGCCAGGCTGGGCAGGTCTGGGGAGGATCCGGGCAGAGGGAACAGCAGGTGCAAGGCTCAGAGGTGGGAAAGAGCTGGCACAGGGAGGCCGGGCCTGTGGGGGAGAGCCTAGAGACCCGAGTGCATTCTCCCCAGAACAGCAGCCATGGCGTGCGCTGTCACCCTCCCCTTTCTCCCTGGGCCAACACATGGTCGGGGCTTCAAGAAGATACAGGGCTATGGTCTGCCTCCACAGGTAGCAGGGCCCATGACTGGGAGGGGATGCTGCAAGGCACCGTTGTTTTCAGCTGCCTTTTTGGGTTCCAGGACTGGATTTTCCATGTGTTGTCTGAGGAGCGGGACCAGAGCCCCAATATCACCTTGAACAGGTGAGCTCAGAGTCTGGACGGGCCAGGGAAGGCAGAAGAGAGGAGGAACCAGAGCCTCAGGGGAGGGGCTTGGGCATAGAGCCGCTACTCAGACGCCTTCTCACACTGATCAGATTCAGAAGCAAGCCTAGAGGAGGAGCGCTGAGAGAGGCCAGCCAGGGGGGCTCAGAGCCTACCGCTTCCTAAAGGAGAGCCTGTTCTTCCATTTGTCACCTGGCCATCCAGCCATCCACCCCTCCGGTCCTTTCATCCTTGTACCCATCCACCCATCCACCCATCTATCCATCATCCATCCTTCCAGTCTTCTACCCACCCATCTCTCCACTCACACATCCATCCATCCATCCACCCCTCCATTGTCCATCCTTCCATTCTTCCACTCATCCATCCACCCACCCACTCTCCATCCATTCAACCATCTTTCCATCCATTCAACACAAACATGCACTGAGCACAAGAAAGTCTATCAGGAAGTTCGAGTCTAGAGGACAGAGGTATGCGAACAGGGCTTATGATGATGGGAGTCTGCCCAGGACCCTTCCTGTGGGATCCCAGCAGGGAAGGAGGCTCCTTCCTGAGAGATAAGGGAGGTCTGTATAGGGAGATGACACTTGAGCTGATCCCCCAAGGAGTAGTAGTAAATGTTCAGACAAATAAGAAGAGGCAGCAATGTCCCGGCAGAAGCCTGGAGGTGTGAGAGAGCATCGCCTTTCTGAGGACCATCTCAGATCCCCTGACAGAAAGCCAAGGCTTAGGACTCTATGTTAAGCCTACTGTCCATGGGCTGGGAGTGGGAGAGGGGAGCCCGGAGCTGATCCTCAGGAATGTCTCGGGCCCCAGGGTCCTCTGGAGGGCTGGTTCAGAAAGGGGCACACAGGATGGGTGCTGGGCAGTGCTGCCTTTTGTGGCCCCAAGGCCTAGAGGGGCCCTTCCTGGCTCTTGTTTGGACCTCACCACTCCTGGGAGTGGCAGGTGAGAAGCTCGAGCCAGAGGAGGGCTGAGGGGGCCTTGCTGCCTTTCGTGTGTGTGTGTGTGTGTGTGTGTGTGTGTGAGTGTGTGTGTGTGTGTGTGTGTGTGTGTGTGTGTGTGTGTGTGTGTGTGTGGGTGTGTCTTGGGGAGAGGGCACCAGCTCCCTTTGCTGCCTCCTGCAGGAAGGGAATTATCAAGCTCAACATCTACTTCCAAGAATACAACTATCGCACCATTGAGGAGTCAGCAGCAAATAACGTGAGTCTGGGGGCTCCTGGCACCTCGGCCCCGCCTGCAGTCCCTCCACCTGGTACCCGGAGGGTGGGGAGCGCCCTGAGCCCAACAGAGGAATGAGGACGGTCCCTTAAGCAGTGTCAGATTACTTCCCTGCGCTGAGACGGTCACCCTTTCCTCCTTCCTGGCCAACAACCCACCTGACAGGAACCCGTGAGGCTGGGCTTGAGGCAGGAATCTGTGGCCCGACCAGCCCCCCTTCCCCAGCCGGGCCCTCAGTCCCCTGCTCCCCACAGATCGTCTGGCTGCTCTCAAATCTGGGAGGACAGTTTGGCTTCTGGATGGGGGGCTCGGTGCTGTGCCTCATCGAGTTCGCGGAGATCATCATCGACTTCGTGTGGATCACCATCATCAAGCTGGTGGCCCTCGCCAAGAGCCTGCGGCGGAGGCGGGCCGAGGCCCGCTACAATGGCCCGCCGCCCACCGTGGCGGAGCTGGTGGAGGCCCACACCAACTTTGGCTTCCAGCCTGACAGGGCCACACACGGCCCCGATGCTGGGCCCCACCCCCATGAGCAGACCCCGCCCATCCCAGGCACCCCACCCCCCAACTACGACTCCTTGCGTCTGCGGCCACTGGACGTCATTGAGTCTGACAACGAGGGCGATGCCATCTAGACCCCGCCCATCCCGGGCAGCCCAGGAATTCGGACCTGAGCAGTGGAGACCGTCGCCCAAGGCCGCATTTTACGATGCCCTCTCCACAGGCCCGGGACGGGAGGTGGCCAAGGCCAGAGTCCAGGTCCCGCTATAGAGAGCCAGCAGCTCCTGGCCAGTCCCAGGCCGAGGGCTCTGTGGAGTAACGGTGCTGGTACGGATGTGGGAATTGTGTTCCTGCCCGCACCCTCCAACCTGACCCAATCCTTGGCCTGGGACGCCCCCAGCCAGGCTCCAAGACCTGGAGCATCCTCCCCTGGAGGCAGGCCACTTCCCTCCCAGGGCCGGTCACTGTCTGCCCCAGAGATGAACAGGCAGCACGCTTGTGACCTTGTGAATGGGTTTAGTGAGGGCAGCTTTGGTGGACAGCAGGCATCAGAGGCCCTGCCAGGTGGCACATGTTTTGTTCTGGAAAATAAAAGTAGAAAACACAGAGTCTAGCTTTGTTCTTTGTCTGACTGGGCAGCCAGAGTGCCCTGATGCATCTCTGGGGATGGAAAGGCGTCCATAACAACTTGAGAGCAGAGGCCTGGCCAAAGAAAGGTCCAAGCTGGTGATTTTTAAAGTTTCTTTCAAGTTGTCCCTTAAACAGTGGCTTTATGCCTTTTTCAGTGTCATCCAACTTATTTCTTTGGGTTGCAAGGATCAAGAGAGAGAGAAAGAGAGGTAAGATGGGAGAAATACTCAAAACTGGCTTAAGCAAAAGCATCTCCAGCAGCTCAAGTGATGTCTGTTCTCTCTGCCTTCCCAGGCGGCTGTCCTTACTTTACAGCAGCAAAGGGCCATCTGCGACTCCAAACTCAGCTAGGAGAGAGACCTCTTTCCCAGTTGTCACAGCAAGTTCCCAGGCAGACTCTCATTGGTCACTGAGTGGGTCACATGCCTGTGGCTGAGCCAATCATCAGTGTGCCCAACTGGCAGGCTGCTGGGATTGGTCAGACCCTGCCCATACCTGAGGCCAGTTGGCCCCCAGCAGAATCACATGGTCTGAGGGTGGTGGGGACATGGCTCCTAGGGGTGCTGGATAAAATATAGGCCACCAAGGTAAACTGGAACTTTAGATAAACAGCAAATTAATTTTTTAGTAGACGTACATCCATGTAATATTGGGGGCATATTAATAAATCAGTCACTGTTTTTCTGAAATTCAAATTTAACTGAGCTTCCTGTATTTTTAATTGCTAAATATGGCAACCCTAATGGCTTCCCAGAAAGAGATCAGGGAGCTGTTATCAAAGAAGAATGTGGTCTGGCAGCTGCAGACAGTTGACCACTGCAGGGCCCTGCTGTCACCTGCTGGCCCTGGTGGTGAAGGAGCTCTCGCTTCAGACCCTGGGACCAGGGCATCCCAGCCCTGCTGGTCTAGAACACCTGGGTCCTTGGCCTGAAAGGCAAACAAGCTGTCCTCCCATTAAGTGCCCACGATAGCACCTGTGGAGGAAGGAGGTGTCACAGGCTGATGCCACTCCAGCCAAAGGCAGCATTGCTAGGGACTGAGTGGGGCAGGCCTTGGGGAAGCCGGGTTTCCGAGCTCAGGGCCAGGCGCGTCTGTACGCTGGAGTCTCAATTCTTGGTAATTACCACACTTACTACTATGACTAGGACTTTTATCAATAGCAATGGTAGTTGTTGTCACCACACTCACTATTATTTTTTGTTTTTAAACAATGGCTATACTGTATCAAACACTTAAGACATGCCAGGCACCAGGCCAAGTAGTTTATAAGTAAGTCTTATTTCACTGAATTCTCATAACCACTGAGAAATATGATCATGCCATTTTACAAGTAAATAAACTGACGCTTGGAGAGGTAAAGTAAGGTGCTATACTAGATTGCTATTCTTGTAAGTGACATAGGCGAGACTCCTGGTCATAAGAATACCAGTTCCTCAGAGAAGCCCAGGGCTTTCATATTTATTATCTCATCTGAGGCTCTGGGGCAGGCAGAGCAATGATTATTATTACCTAACTCCATTTGCCAGCCCTTTGGTCACAAGTTAATTTGAACTTGAGCTAAAAGGGGAATTCATTGGTTCTTATAATTAAAGTCCAGGGATTTCAAGCACGGCTGTATCCAGGGGTTCAGCTACAGGCTGTATTTTCTTCTGTGTCGATATCCCTCTCACACAGTTTCTCTCCATATGCTACTCTTCCCTCCACAGTCCCAGACTCCATTCCCTCAGCTCAGCAACCACAGCAGGAAGAAAGCTTTTCCTTCACAGTGTCCCAGCAAAAGCCTCGACAGTAAGGCTCATTTGGATCAGCCTGGGCCACATGCTCATTGTGAACCTACCACTGTGACTGAGGATGGGAGATGCTGCCTGGCCATCCTGGGGTGTATCTAGAGCGGGCAGCCCCTTACAGACTCCTGTGAGAAGTTTTGCTCAGAGACATGGTGAAGCGGAGCGGGAAGGAGCTTCTGGCCCCCAAAGCTGCTTGTAGATGGGAGACGGGGACCAGGCTGACATGGGTATCAGTTGCCATCCCTCTCTTGGGGAGTACTGAGGGCCGGGGTGAAGATGGATGATGGCCCCATCTCCAAAAGCAGGCTCTGAGTCAGGCAGACAGGCATTCCTCTCCCCTCCGGATCTAGAGGAGATACGGGCTGTCCTATTCCTACTCTGGGGTCCCATTAGAGCCATTTAGGGGTGAAAAATTAGTCTAGCAGGGCCAAAATTGCCCAGAAAAATGGCATTCTGTAATTCCCTCCTCTACCCCCAAAGGGAAGGTAGGTTACAGACGCTAGAGGACTACGAAATTAGCAGCTATCGTGCACTTGCTACATGCTGTTGCCCCCACTGTGTCTCAGTGGCTCTTCAAATAACCCTATGAGTTCAGTACCATTATGACCCCTGGTTTTCGGATTAGGAAATGAGGCTCGGAGAGGCTAATGACTTTCCCAAGGTCACACAGCTGGAAGGTGGCAAAGCTGGGAATCAAGACCAAGCCTGTCCTAGTGGCTCTCACCCACACTGGCACAGAGGTCACTGCAAAGAGGTTTCCACTTCATAGCAGCTCTTTTCACCTTCCAGGTTACCAGCTCCCACTCCAAGGCAGGAGCCAGGCTCGAGCCCTGCCAGACACTCTGTGATCCACCACATGAGAAACCAAAATATTTTTCTTGGTGCGGATTCGCAGCTGATGCTCTTTCGGGGCCAGCCAAACTGGTTCCAAAGATGTGGGGACAGAATGTGGGAATCCCTGGATGACAGACCTAGAGAGACACGGCCCTGGCAGCCCAGCGGGGCTGGTTCAGAGGCCACATTCGTGGCAGTGCCCCTCCGGAGGGCTGGCACAAGCAGGCTAAACCAGCTGGGATTATCATTTCCGGCCGAATCCTCAGTGCAGACGGCACAGCACATGAGAAGCACCCAAATATTCACTGAGGAAAGAAAACAGCCTTCTTTCATTTCACAGTATTTATTAATTGCACTTTCAAGACAGGATCATTTAAAAAATCATCTGAAAATTCCTCCCTGATAAATAATACACCTCTAATTTACAACTTTTTTTTGATTATACAAATGAACCACATCTTTTTGAAATGAATTCTGCCCAATCGCAGGCGGATTTTTAGAGCAAATCCATTCTGGGGGCTTCTGTGGCCCCGGAACTCCAGCCCCGACCCTCTTATCAGCCGGGTGCGTGGGGGTCAGTAGTCCACACCCCGCATGGCGGCCACCGTGGTGGTGAGGCGACGGGGCAGGCCTTTGCTGACCTGTCTGTAATCCTCGGGTTTGGCCTTCAAGAGCATCACGATGTTCTGGAGGGTGCGGGACGGCTGCAGGCCCAGGGCATCCATCACGTTGATCAGGTAGTCTGTGGGGTGGGAGCAGACAGACACAGCTCGACAGACTCAGGACCGGGAGGACGAGCCCCAAAGGCCTCGCCGCGGTAAGGGACAAGACACACCCCCAACCCCCAAGTGCTGGCTGCCAGGTCTGCCCTCAGCCCACAAGCCTTCACTCTGAGGGCTTTTCCAAGGGGTCAGACCTGCCTGTGAGCTCGGCCCGGGTCCAGGAATTCTAGTCACATAAAGGAGTTGCCAACATCGCCCCATCCCCGCCACTCCCACTGCACACTCAGCTCTACAGCCCAGCCGACCTCAGCCGAAGCTCTACCCTGGGGGCTCCTGCGTTCCCAGCCCTGCTCCCCAGCGGACTCCACTGACGACATGGAAAACCCAAGGGGTCAGGAGACACAGGGCTTACCTAAGCAGCTCCCGAAGATTTCCCAGCAGAGCCCCTACAGGGTGGACTTTGGACGGTGCAGGGGGCCAGGCCTGGTGTAACGCAGTTCCCACACCTCCCAGATAACCCCTTAGGGTAAGAGTTAGGACAGATTACTGAGCCCACCCCCAGGCCAAGTCGATGAGCGTTTCCAAGAGAGGGTCTGAGGCTCGTGTCCTGCAAAGCGGCAGTGCCCTCCAACCGGCAGGCAAGCTCGGGCAGCGCTGGCAGAGTGGAGGAGAAAAGCGGGTTTCCGAGGTCAGGGTGACCTCAGTGACGCCATCCGCCTCGAGTCTCTACTTCCACCTGTGGATGCAGTTCGTACCCATCAGGCAGCATGTTCGGGGGATGAAGTGGGACAAGGACCGCGGACGCGCCTGACGTGACACAGGTGGTCAGTAACTGGCCGCTCCTTCCCTTCCTCTTCCTGGGCAGCACGGCTGGCCGAGCCCGAGGCAGGGCGCTCTCCAGCCCCTCCCTCTTCCTGCTCTGCGGGACTGGGAGACGCATCACCCGGCAGGTCCCTCCTTATGTTCTGATGACCACCCACGTTAATCTTTTCTGCCCGACTAGGCTGGAGCTCCAGGCACGGCTCTATCTTCCCTGTGTCTTCTTTCTGAGGCCCGGCTCAGGGCAGAGCCCATAGGAGGTGCCCGCTCTGCCCTGGCTGCCTGACTCACGTCCCAGCGAGCCGCTTCCCAGGAAGGGCACCACCAACCAGTCAGGCACCT